TTAATTCCAAGATTTGATAAAAGTAATAAATATTTATTTTAATACATTATAAATTTTTGCATATTTTTAAAAATTTTTATTATGAAAAAACTCTGGAGTTTTTTATTATAAAAATTTTTCTGTTATAAAAATTTTTGAAGCTATTCGAAGATTTCCAGAGATTTTTTTGAAAATTTTCGAAAATTTTTTTATGGTGGAGATCTCCGGAGATCTCTGTTCAAAAAAATTTCCTGACAGTCTCATAGTCTAATTGGAATAAGGAAATAACTTTTTTTGTATATTTTGTCTAACTAGAATAATAAAAAGTTGAAGACCTTGGTTTAAACAAATAACTATTTTTTCATTATCTAGAAAATTTAGTATCCATCCTAATGGTCTTATAATTTCTTTACTTCAATTATACTTTATTTGAAGAAGTGAAGGAGTTTGTATCCATAATTACCCTTTCTTTTACCAATGATATTATCAATATACATGATATAATCAATAAGAGCTTATTTACATTCTGCTACTAATATGTTTCATATTGACCAATCATCTTTAGCAAAAGCTATATCAATTTTGTGTTACTTCAAAATTCAGGGTCAAGCTGAGGTAGATAAAATTTCTCAAAAACTTTGAAAAATAAGTGACTCTAAGAGGGTAAGAAACAGTGGAAAGAAAAGTTTAAGGTTTCAGCTTTTGTTTGCTTATTCATCTACTATATAAGATCTCTAATTGCACTTCTGTTTCAAGTGATAGATTTTCAGTACTTTACTATTAGTTTTTCTTCCTTTTAGAACTTTCTTGTTATAGGTAAAAAAAGGTGCTTCTTGATTTTTATTGATTACCAGAAGTCAAGTTTTTGTTTGAAAAGGAATGTAAATAAGAGAGGAGAATTGAAAGAGACTTTTAAAGTTATTTTTCAAGTTGTTTTAAAAAAAGTAATAAGACTTTACTAGTAAAAAGATATAAAACTTTTTTGTATATATCTTTTTTGTGTATTGTCAAGGGATTAACAGAAAGAGTTTTTTTTAGTGAACTTTTAGTTTTATAAATACTTAAAAAATGAAAATTAAATATCTATATTATAATTATCTATTTAATATATAAACTTTAGATGAAATACTAAGACATTTTTTAAAATGTTCAGTTATTTGATAAAGAAATAAAAATCAAAAAAACTTTTTTATTTATAACTAATAACTAGATGGAAAACTAATTAAATAAGATTTAGTAATTTAATAAAAATCTCTTTAATACTATTATAAATATATGAAAGAGAATAAAAATATTTTCTTAATATCTATAAAACTCTTTTTATTGATTCTTTGACTATATGCAAAAAAGATATTCACAAAAAATTTTTTTACTTCTTTACTAATAAAGTTTTAATACTTTTATTAAAACAACTTGAAGTATAACTTTAAGAGTTATTTTTATACTTTCTCTTCTGTTTATAAACCTCTTCACTCAAAAACTTAACTTCTGATAGTCAAGAAAAGACAAGTAATACCTTTGATATCAATGACAAAAAAGTTTTCAAAAGAAGAAGAACTGATTGTAAAGTATCTAAAAATCTTTTTAACCTTTAAGGTAAGAGGTTATAGAGATTTTGTTACTATAATATGCTTATTTTCTTCCTTTCTAACTATCTAAGTCCTTTTAGAACTTTTATATTCATGATTTTCTAAGAAATTTTGTTTACCTCAATTTGATCTCAAATTTTAAGCAATACAAATTCTTATTAAAAGTAATTGATTAATATAAAATATATTAATTTTTGAAATATAAACAAGCTTCTATTGGTTACACTCACATGTCTTAATGATATTATTGATGATTAGAAAAAATATTCCAGAAATATTTATACTCCAGAAACTTAAGTCTTTTAAGGAAGATATCTATGATATCAAAAAACTAAGAGACAAATAATATAAATTGCAAATTTTTATCTCTTCTTTAAGCTTCTCAAGTAGTGACAAAGCTTTAATGAATTAAAGCTGAGATCTAAATATTTTTTTTGAGATATTTCAATTTAGTGCTCATTTAAATAAGAACCAGTTGAATTGACTTGTCCAATATTATAAGTGATAATAAAAAAATTTTCTTTTGAGACTCAAAAAAAGCAAGAAGATTATCTTACCAGATAGATTTCTTTTAAGAAAAAGATTACTTTTTTTTTTAACTTTTTTTGATAAAACATTGACCTATTCTTCTTTTCCAATTTCTTTTTTTTATTATTTCTCCTTAACTTAGTGATTTATGATTTATAGGCAATCTAATAGTAACAAACTATTGATGATGAATCTAATAGATAAAGATTATTTACTAATTCTCTAAAGAAGTAAAATATTATTTTCTAAACCTGACTTAGAGTACTTTGATATAATAATGAGTTAGTTATTATGTGAAAAATTTGTAATATTGTAGATAGTTATATAATTTTTCAATAAAGATCAAGTCTTATAATATAGTTATAGAATAAAAAAAAAAAAATAAAATAAAAATATTTTTTAAAGAATTATTTAAAGAGTAATTCAAAATTTTCTTAATATTTATATAAAATATTATTTATAAACTTTATTAAAAGATATAAAAAATTTATCAAAAAGAAAAACTGAAATAGTTATTATATTAGTATAATAAAATAAAATAATTTTAAATATTATTGAAAAGAAAAAAAAAAAATTAAAAGATTTAGATATACTGTATATTAAATATATAAGCCATGTAAAACTAAAAAAAAACTTATATTATTTTCAATAAAAATTCAAATCAAGAAGATATAGAAAAAAAAAAATAAAAAAATAATATAAAATTTATTAAGGAATAAATAGATAAATTAGTATGTAAAAATCATAATATTTTGTAAATATCTAGTATATACTATATATAATAAAAACATATTATATTAATCTAATTACAGATTAAAAAAAAAATATTATTTGGAAGTAAATTAAAAATCTTTTTGAATATTATTTATTATTTACTATTAAATAAATTAAGTTTAAATACTTTTATTTGCAATAGTGACCTGTAAGCAATAAAGTTAACAGTTAAAAGGATTTTTATCTAAACTACTAATAGAATAATAAATCATTTCCAAAGTTGTATTTAAAGTTTTAGAAAATTTAAAACAGAGACAAGTGAGTTAGGTAAAGATTTAACATTAACGAAACATTTAATAATGTAAAGTATACAAATGTTTAATAAAGTATACATACCTAGCTTGACAAAGAAGAGTTTAAAAAAAAATCAATAAAAAAAATTTAAATACTTTTCTAGATATAAATTTTAAACTTAAACTAATTTATCAACTTGAATTATTGTTTACAAGATTTCTTTTAATATCAAGAAAGGTATTAATCTGTATTGACCTGATTAAGAACTTTGTGAATCAATTTTTTCTGAATTTTTCTTTCTCTATAAAATATATATATATAAAATATAAGTGGGTTCTGTCTTATACTTATTTTGTATATAATACTAATGAGTTGCGTGTTTGATAAATCTTAGTATTAAGCTGCTGTTTTTACTTTCTTGTGGATTCTCTTGTATTTAAGGCTGGCTTTTTTTTGTTTAGAGATTCGAATGTTTTCTTAAGTTGCATCAAATAATTGTATAACGCCATTACGTATTTGTCAGACTGCATACACTAAAAATAGAACAACATAAATTACATTTATATAATAAATATCTCGAGGTTCGACTGATACAACATTTTATGACTTGGAAATGACCGAGGAAACGAACACCGATATAGACTTAACGCTGTCACGTCCACCTAGAAATGAATATCGTCACTACAGTTCTAAAGCCTATTTTACACATGCACCTTCCAAAACTCAATTCCAACAGGGTTATCTCGGCGTTCAACCCTCAATAATAAAAGGCACCTTTCACCTGAGGTACCCAGAGGCCCAACCCTTGTTAGTTGAAAGGATCGAGATAACCTTTAAGGGAAAAGGAAGTGTAAGGTGGAAACAGGGCAAAAGAGAGTATCGACGAGTTAACAAGTTTTTTCGTCTCACCAAAAGAATCTGGTCGTCGTTAGCCAGTGATCACTTTGAACCCATCGTCAGCTTGGATTTACCCTTTGAATTTACCATACCTGACGTTTCCCCTTCATCAATCCCCCAAATTGATAATGGAATCATCAAATATTCTCTTAAAGCCAAGATCTATCGTAAATCCAACTTTATAATGAAATTTTCTAGTAAGATAATTGAGGTGTGGGTAAACATCAATCGTTGGAATCTTCCTCCGGCGCCCGATTATGAGACGCTACCTATTACCAAAAGATTTGAGATGTTTGAGTGCCAAATGTCATTGAATCAAACGATATTTGATGCTAATGACACAATCAATATTCCAATTAAGTTCATATTATTTGATATGAGAGTTAGTGTGAAGAAAGTGGTGGTCAGGCTAAAACAATATCATCGACTAAAGGCTCATGACCATGATTCAAAGCTCACAAAGAAATATGTGGCAGGACATGAGGTTAGCGGTGATCAAATATTAATGAGTTCGGATTCTTCTAACGAATTCTTGGTCGGGTTGAAGTTGAATTTACCCGAGTCTCATGATTTGAGGTGTAGTTGCAACACAATACTGATAGATATTTGGCATAGGATTAAGGTTAGGATACATATGGGCAACGCTAACACGTCGTACGTGAATTTCGAGAAAGACGTGAAGATCTACAATGTGATTCCGGCTGACTCATTTATTCTTGATATGGGAGAGAGGACCGCCACCAGATCTACCATTCAATCCTTGTTTGATGCCAATGAGCATAGGTGGATTGACGAGATATCAGGTGACGAATTGCCTGAATATCAGAACCGATAACGTGTTTCGCATATATACAGTGTATATACTGTATATATATATATCGATGACCTCAATATTTTTAGTTATACTGAGATCGGAATACTTCTTTCTTCTTATTTTTTATTATTATTATTATTATTATTTTTTTTTTATAAAAAAATTATCATTCCCTAGTCAAAAGAACTTATAGGCGAGTTCGCGCGATAATAAATTTCCGATCGAAGGATGCTGGGGATATTGCAAAATCAGGAATTATGAAGTTCATTAGCAGACTCGTCAATATGGTTATGATTTATCACATGTAGATTGGATGGTACGTGTTTTTTATTTTATTTCCTGGAATAATCCATTTCACAGTTCTATCGAGTGTTCCGTTATAGAGAAGAATTTGGAACCTTGGAAATTATTAACTGTGAGAAGGAAGGTTCATGTTATGTATATCTTGTTCTCATTCGGAAATTGTTTCGAGACTACTGTAATTTAATGTATATTATTATTAGCTAATGTTTAATGTTAAATATATATAATTAAAATTCACCCAAATAAATGTCCTCGTTAATTTGTGGCAAATACCGTTGTGTTCTTGTGCGCCAACTCATTAAGTGAATTGGTGTGGTACAAAAAAAAAAAAAAAAAATTTAAATTTATTATATAATTTAATAAAATATAATCATCATTTTTTAAAATAATAATAATTTTTCAAATGATATAGCCATGTGCATTATAAATCTTATATTTTTATTACCACATGAATTGAATTTTATCCGTTGTGTAAAATCGTTTCTCTTGAAATTTCAAGGTCTATTCAACCTTTATACCACAGAAAGCATTTCAATATTAAACCCATTAAATTTTTTCTTTAAAAAAAAAAATTTTTTTTTTGATAATCCATGTTAAATTTAAATAATACTTTAAAATCGGTAATGCTTATTAAATGGTCGAAAATCTTTTTATTCAGATCAGTGGTTTACATTGCTTCTAAATTACTTATTTATATGCAAAAAGAGAAAAATCAGGAAACACTTAAATAAAATCACTAGATATGTATTACACAAAATTTGAAAATGACAGAACCCAAATAAGAAATACTCTTACAAATTAGAACTTCTTAAAAAAACCCAATTTTTCTCCATTAAAAACCGAGGGACAAAAAAAGAACCTATAGTGTCTGTCTGAAAACTTGACAATAATAATAATAATTTAATATTAACTTAGTAAACAAACAAATTTAATTCACGCGTAAAAAAAAAAGGATTTCCCATCGTCCCCATTTATCCGACCGCCGTGTTATCAAATAAATTAATGCTCTAGGTCAATCATTTGATTCATGTAGGTCCTCGTGAATCCTTAAATGAGACCACTTTCTTTATAAACAGAGGTGAATGTGTTTTTACTGCGGTTGCTGTCCGGGGTGACCCTGGTAAATCCACTGGCCATTAATGATTTGTTGAGGGTTATTGACTACTCGCTGCTGAACCATCAAGTTTGGTCTCGGAACAACGACCTGGCGACCTTGCATTCGTTGTAATAATTGTATAGGTATGGACATTTGTGGTTGATTCTGAATCTCTAATTGCATTTGTGGATTCATTTGAAACGGTGATTGCTGGACCACGAAACCTTGACCGTTATTCACAAATTGTTGCTGTTGTTGCTGTGCAATAAAATTTGCCCTAAGAAATCGTGGATCATACATAGGCTGTGCTTGCATATTTTGCATGTTCGACATAATGATCTGTCCTGCTTGATTGGTCATTAATTGATTGTGCTGTCGAGGTAGATTGGCAAATTGAACATACTGCACCGGTGTTATTAACGGATGATTATTTCCGATTTGATTGATAATAACCGGATCGGAATTTATTTGAGCCGGTTGACTATTATTTTGCGTCGGATTTTCCTGATGTGTAGAGAGCATATTGTTTTTGGGTTGCTGAGATAGCTGTATGGACATAGGTGTTGAAATGATGGAAGGTTGGCCCTGAATTTGACCCGAAACTTGAGTCGATGCTCCTGAAACCGAATTCGGCTCAGGTCGAACTTGAACATATGTCGGAACTTGAGTTGGTGTTCCCGGATTGGATCGCGTGTTTGGAATTTGGATAGGCGTAGTCGGATTTGGAATTGATATTGGCGTCCCTTGAAGTTGATTGGTCGGGGTTATATCTGACTGTTGATTTTGCCCAGAGACTAAAATGGGTGTCCCGGGGGCGGAATGTTGGACGGGTTGCATTCCAATCTGAATCTGCGTTTGCGCGGGACTTGTAATTGATGACTGATTTGTTGATTGATTTTGCTCGTTCGAAATTTGCATCATCTGAGGATGAGAAGCAAGTTGTCCACCTTGTGAGGAGGTCTCTGGTTGATCTGACGCACTTGTTGGTTTGGAATTTTTGCGTCTCGGACGTTTAACGGGTGTCACCTGTTGAACAGGTGGTCTCGGCACCATTTGCACTTGCGTTGTTACAGGAACTGATGGCCGGCCAGGAGAGAATTGTGCCATTTGCTGAGGTATTTGCTGAGGTATTAGGTGATTTGAAATTTGAGATTGATTCATATATGGCAACACTCCTCTTTGTTGATTCGGAATGAGACGATTTTGATGTTGCAATACCGTTTGTGGCATTTGAACTTGGGTTTGCGATCCAATATTTTGAATTATAACTTGAGACTTTGGTGATGATGGTATCTGTCCCGGGCGGCGAGGGGGTCGTGACGGTGGGGGCATTGCAACTTGATCTTGTTGAGGCAACCGAGGAGTTCCCACTTTATTTTGAGAACTCCTTGTGGCTGCCACAACCAGATCATTGATTGATTCGATTTTAAGATCATTTATTTTAAAATCCAATGTCGATGATTTCGTTTCTATAGGAAGATATTCTACAATTTGCAATGGCTCTAACGTATTTTGCTTCTCGGGAAGCATACTTGAATAATCGCTCGTTAACTGCGTGATTGTGTCGATGAGAATTTTGTCACTTCTGTCGGAATCGAACTTTAACTTGTTGCTCATTCCATAAAGAACAACAAATGATTTAATGAATGTTTTGTAGTCCTTGGTATTCTCGAGTTCGCATCTGTGTCAATGAAACGTGTATTGATAAACAACTCCACACAATCAATGCTAACCAATAAACGCATAATTTCTTACTTAAGGGTTGCTTTATTGTCATTCAATCTTGCATGGTAGATCTTGCTATCCCCACTGCGTAGAAAACTAGGGTATTCGTTGGTCGCCTTCAAGTCTCGCTCATCAACAGTATGAGCAACGACCATATGTTTATCATTTGAATCACGATATATGTAAACAAAGGTGTACAACGTGAATTTCTTTTCAACGGCTTCTACCAAAATGACGGAAAATTTTTCTTTAAAAATAATGAACAAATAAATACAGTGTAAAATAATATAAATAATTTACTGTTGTTGTCTGTCTCGATTGAAGTATTCAGTCTTTCAAAGGTCAACGTCCTGAAAACGGTGCCAAATGATCTCTTTGGAATCGTTGTTATTCCTCGCCCTTCGTAAATATCAATAAGTACCAATGGCTCGAACAATTTACGCTAATAACTTTGATGGAAATGTTATTGCATATTTCTTACCCAATTCAGCAAGCGGTTCCAAGTCTGCCCTCTTCTTCCCTTTATTCAAGGTATCTTTGTGACTTCTGAAATATCTCATTTGGTTGAAATCCGGCTTAAAATCCCGACCATGGCGCTGTTGGAAATATTGAAGTATGCGTAATTGGAGTATGTTCAATAAAAAATTCCATTAAAATACAGAAAATGATAAATATAATTTATACCTCGTCCATCATCCACATCATCTTTTCTTGTTTGATCCTCTTAGCCTCCGCCTGTTTCAGTTCATAAGAATTAAGCTTTCGCTTTTTCCTTTTCAACTTGCGATGGACCGGCCGTTCATATTTCTTAACTGCTGGATCAAATAGTTTCATCCCTTGCAAAGTTGAATCGGGTTCCAAATCAAGCGTTGGGTGCAACTTGAGCTTTTGTACACGCGGAACAATACGAACATGGTAAATATACTTAATTTGATGTTAATATGTGAAGATGAAATTACTCACAAGCAATTTCGCCTCCATTTGAATAGCCTGTTCATACGTCCAATTCGATCCCGTGGCCTGATTAAGTCGCAAGATGTCGTCCCAAACCGAAACATGATTTTTTCTTAAAATTGCCCTTTTTCCATCGCATTTTTTCTGCTCCCGGTAATCCTTGAATTCAACTACAATACGACCTAAATTTCGAAAATAAGTTATACAATAAATCGCACTGTTTGACTAAGCAAATATGGACACATTAAACCTCTAAATTACCGTCATATAATGTATATTTGTCAAGAGAAAATTCTGTGGACCCATCCTAAGAATTGAAATATAACATTTAACATTAGGTACAGCAATGGCTTATACATAATGAAATATGTTTTTTTCTGCAAGTACCAAATTCTTGAAGTCGATATGTTTATCATAAACATATGCGTAAAGAGAAACCTTGCAATTGTCAAGGTTGAAGTCCTGGGACGGCATCTTGCAAGTTGAATGTATAATAATTAAAATTTGGTTCAGATGACTATCGTTATTGAGTATTAAATGGAACTGCGCAATCCATTTGTGAAATCCTGGTTACGTAATCATATATATCGCGTCGCGAAAATGAACTTTCGTCAGCTCTAATGCTAGAAAAAAAAATTCGGAATTGCCTTTAATTTTAATCGGATAAAGTGGGAATTGATTACCTTAATATCTATATGCTGAGATTGTTACATAATTCCGTCGATTTTTTTTTTTAATATTAAGACTAAAAAATTTATTATCTAAAAAAAACTTTATCTGTCCTTTTTACATAAACCATCCGAGAAAAATGCGTGCACGAGCGCCGATTGACTCCAATTTGTCCAAGCTTCATTCGTAAAATAAAATAATAATAATAATAATAATAATAAACCTTAAAATAAATTATAAGAGTTAGACATTTTATCAACATTTGATAAATAAATAATATACAGTCTGATGCCAAAGTCTTTGGACGATTAAAATTTTTTTCTTAAGTAATTTTAATTTTTTTTATTTTTTTTTTAATCCATAATTATGTCACTATGGCATATCTTTATTGAGATACTTAAAATATTAAAATATTTTACAAACTATCACAAAGCAACTAACTCATTATTGTATATTATTAGTTGAAGAACTATATTACTTAAAAAATATGAGAAGTCCATTAAACTAATTTGAACTAAACAAAATGAAGTTTTAATTAGATATTCTAAGTCAGATTTAGGAAAAAATATTATATTCCTTCAATAGTTTGATAATAACCTTTAATTATTGGAATCATTAATAATAGTTTATTATTATTAATTATCTTTAAAACAAGGAATTGCTAAAATAACTAGAAAAAGGTGAATAATGAAAACAATTAAAAACATCCTCAAAAGATTTTTTATTTCCTTAAATAACATTTTCTCAAAAGGAATTTGTCTAATTGGGATATTCTTTATGCTTATGCTTTGTTTAAACTTCAGAAGAGATTTTTTTTTTATAATTACATGTGATAACATGAATAGATTCATTATTTAAACAAGCATCAAATTGGAATTTCTAAAAAATATAGAAATTTTTAACTTTTTTTCTTAAAAAAGTCTTTTCATTACTTGAGAACCTTAAATAAGAAGAGAAGTTAAACTAATTGTATTATTCTTTGAAATATCTTTTTCAATTGAAAATAAAAATCTTTTAAAAATTTTTTTCTATATTATTATTAATAGTATTCCCAATTTTGATTTGAATCTGATTGATCTATAAATCGAATATGAATTGGATCAAATCAAATTTCAAAATTTTTAATCTGATCGAATTCAGATCCAATCAAATTTTAAATTTACATAATTATTGGATTCAAATCAGATTTGAATATAATTTAAATTAGATATATACCAGTTCATATAAAATATTATATAATTATTTAATTTTATTTAAATCGAACTATCTAAAAAATTAAAATATGATTTTTTTTTAAAAAAATAATATAAAAGATAAGTTAAAAAAAATTCAATATTTATTTTTCTTGATAATTTTTTAATCATTTCTTTGTAATATTATAGTTTTACTGCTTAATTACTTTCATTATATTCTTTGTTTTTACTAATTTATTTCTTTTAAAAATAGAATATGAAAACTCATTTGATAGTATATAATTTGTATATAATAAAAGTAATAGTTTAACTAGACATGACAATATTGATATTGAAAATATTAATATAAGCAATTTATCAGAATCAACCTCAATTATCTCAACAATTTCTAAAAGTAAAGTATAGGAACACTTTATAAAAAGTGCAAGTTTTAAAAAGAATAAAAAGATTACCTGTAAATAATGTAGAATGATATATACTTATAGTAAAGACAATACTTCTAATCTAATAAAACATCTTGAAAAAACTCATTCAGCAAAATTAAATTTAATAATTAGCAATATTGAAATTGCTAATTTTTTTAAAAATAAAGTAGTTTCAAATAATTTTTAAATTTTTAAAAAAAATATTATTAATTTTTTATATTTATATATAGTGAATATATGACTTAACAAAAATAAAAAAAAAACTTGTTCAATAGATTATTATTAATTAACAACCTTTTATAGTTGTCCAAGAACCAGCTTTCCTTACTTTCATATAAATATTAGTATCAGATACACAAATACTATCAACTATTTCTATTAAGACCTGTATAATAGACTATTATTTAAATAATTAAAAAAACATTTAAAAAATATTATAAGAAATAGAAAGTTATATTTCATTTACACTTGATATTTGGATATCAGTTTCAATGAAAGCATTTTTAGATATAACTACTTATTTTATCAATAAAGATTAGAGAATGTGAAGTATAATAATAAACTTTGTTCAATTGTGCGATATCTATTTAAATAAAAGTATTAAAGAAATATTTTTATCATATTTAAAAAAATGTATGATTCA